CACACACACACACACACACACACACACACACACACACACACACACACACACACACACACACACACACACACACACACACAGAAGGGTAGTGCATATGGAATACAATCATGCCGAAACTTTAAGGAAAATCATTAACTAGTGTTGGGGAAAACTAAATGTAGTGATTTTACTATTTCTTCCAATTTGTATTACTACTTTTCTAGTATATTTTTAGTGGTATAATTTGATAAAACACTACATTAGTTTTATGTCACAATGTATTGCACATCAGTGAGTTGAGGCAAAAATTAATGAGTGAATTGATTCACTTTGATCGTTAATTTCAATCAGGGTTATTAAACTAGGGTTATTATTAAAAGTAAAACTATATATATAACTATTAAAACATATATAAAACAATTTCAGCTAGATGCCAATGCAACACTTCATTTAGTTTCTGTTGAATTACCAAAACAATTCAAACTGAAATAGAATTAATAAAATCTATATAGATGTATTAAAAGAAACCTAATAAAAATTACAAAAACACAATAACATTTCTACAACTTTAATATTTAACGAAAATGGCAAAATACACAAATAAAATATTAGTCAAACTAAAAACTATAAAAGTATCTCATTTAATAATAGTGCAAGTGCATCATTTTACAAAATTATAATATATAATTGTGAGTTTAATTTAAAGCTAATAATTAACTAAATCATAAAAATATAAAATTAAAATAATTTTACAGTCAAAATAAAACACTTTCTAAAAAATTAAATATATTGTGTACCTGCATGTTATGTAGGCATTTTAGAAAGGAAAATAATTAGGGAGACTCCATACATTATGAATAATTTATTGCTATTGTGTGAATATATGTAATCAAGTAATTAATAAAAAAGTAACTATAGTCTGATTATGAGTATTTTAAAACTTATTTTGTGTGCGTGTGTGTGTGTATATACACTACCGCTCAAAAGTTTGGGATCAGTAAGACTTGTGATGTTTTTTAAAGAAGTCTCTTATGCTCATCAAGGCTGCATTTATTTGATCAAAAATGCAAAAAAAAACAGTAATCTTGCAAAATGTTATTATAATATAAAATTATAGTTTCTAATTTAATATCCTTTAAAATATAATTTATTTCTGTGATGCAAAGCTGAAGTTCTATCAGCCATTCCTCCAGTATAAAGTGTCACATGATCCTCCAGCAATCATTCTAATATGCTGATTTATTATTAGAATTATCAATGTTGGCAACAGTTGTGCTGCCAAATATTTTTTGGGAAACTGTGATACTTTTTCAGGATTCTTTGATGAATAAAAAGTTAAAAAGAAGCATTTATTCAAAATATAAATCTTTGCTATCACTTCTTAACAATTTAACACATCCTTGCTGAATAAAAGTTTACATTTCTTTAAAAAAAAAAAGAATAAAAATGTACTGACCTCAAACTTTTGAACAATAGTGCATATTGTAAACGATTTCTATTTTAAATGAATTCTTTAATATAAATATTTATTCATCAAAGAATCCTGAAAAAAAGTATCACAGGTTCCCAAAAAATATTAAACAGCACAACAGTTTCCAGCACTGATAATAAATCAGCATATTAGAATGATTTCTGAAGGATCATGTGACACTGAAGACTGGAGTAATGATGCGGAAAATGATCACAGAATAAATTAAACATAAATCACAGAAATAAATTATATTTTAAAGTATATTAAAATAGAAACCATTATTGTTGAAACCAACAAGATTGTTTTTTTTCTGTATTTTTGATCAAATAAATGCAGCCTTGATGAGCAGAAGAGACTTCTTTAAAAAACATTACAAGTCTTACCTATCCCAAACTTTTGAGCGGTAGTGTGTGTGTGTGTATATATATTTAAAATACTCTTTTTTCATATAGTAGTAAAAATACAGTTTTTACTTATTTTTATCTTTAATTATTTGTTAAAAAATGTCAATGTAGTTAGCTCCTTTTGTTAGTAACTTACTGCAACAACTTTATCAAAAGAGAAGCTTCACTGCAGTTTAGCTACTTTATTAATTTACAGCCTCCTGTCAATAACACACTATGATGTCATCCCTCAAAATCATCTGCCCATTTACATGCGTGCGCAGTTCATTAACCCTGACAGCAGATCTGACCCACAGCACTATTTTAAAACACACTGGTGGTGGTGTAAATGAGCAGCGGTGGCTGTGTACCGGCGCTTGTGTGGGGGAAGAGGGATCTGCACAGCCTGGGAGGGGCTGGCAACCCACTAATGAGGTGTGAAATGTGTGAAATGTGTGAAATGTAATGTACGACTGCATTACAGGACAGGTGAGGGGAGGGGACGTGATTCTATCGGCCGCTGCTTTGGGGATTGAGGTCCTGTCAAGATTTTTATTCCCCAGCGTCCCACTGTCGATGAATCACAGAGGGTGTGCTGTCACATACACGGTGCCAATTTATAACTTTTGTGAGGTCGGGAAGATGAGGGTCTTCCTGAAACTTTATGCATCTGAGTTAGGAAGGGTATCAGACTGGGGTGGGTGCTATGACGGCGGTTTAGACTGTATGACGACAGTAATGTGTGCTGCTATACCGCGGTAGACACATTTGTGGGGTTACGATTGAGCAGGACTGCTTCAAGTCATAATTTAAGTCAGTGAGAGCGATGAAGAAACACGCAGTAATGCGAAAATACAGAGTGGGACCTGACCAAACAAGCTAAGACAAAGAAGAATGTGTTCCTGTTTTGCTTGCTGTGTTTCAAAATGTGAAACAGTTTTTGCATAAATGCCAGATTTATTTATTTTTTTTACAAATAATTATTTCAAACGAATAATAATAAAAAAACCTTTTTAGAATTATTTGTTATAAACATTTTTTGAAGAATTAAGAATACAATAAAATAATTACTTTTTTAAAATAAATGATTTTGATGAGATAATTACTAAAATAAAATACAATAAAAAAGACTTTTTGGATTATCTGTTATAAATTTTAATAAAATAACTAACAATAAAATACAAACAAAATAATTATATTTTTCATTATTTATTCTAAATAACTATTTTGATAAAATAATAATAATAATAATTCATTTTCTGGGTTATTTGTTATATATAATTACTAATAAAAGTAATTGATACAACAACAAAAACCATATTACATATTACCACATAGCTGTCTGATACATAAATTATGCTTTTGTTAAATTTCAGACAAAAATAAATAATATATTGTGTTACACACCATTACAGTGATATAAAATTGCTTTTTGATAAGATTTTGGTCTTACCGCCCACCCCTAGTCTTAGCACACGCACACACACACTTTGAGTGTCTGCATCTGATGGTTTTGCCTTTAACTGGACTATTAGGGTGTGCAGCAGACCGTGATCACGAGCTCTCAGCTCTCAAGATTAGATTACTGTACTTTGAAAGGATGTACTTAAATCAAAGCATCGCAGTCCTTATAAAAGCCTTCGCTCTAGATCGTACAGCACATATTTCTTTGAAACGTTACACTCCATTCTCTCTGTAAAGCATTACACAACACTTCCCATCTCAGTTACCACACTGAGCATCATAAAACACTATACGAAATCGATTTTAAACTATTATATTTATCCCTACACTTAAGCAAGAATACGATGCTGGGAGGAACACTCTTCCATTAACAGCCACAAACGAATCGCATTTGTTTGGTGAAGCCATCCGCAGACGGACAGACGCTTCCGCTCCGGTGGTCTGAGGAAGGGGAGGATGAGAGGGGGAGAGGATGAGCGAGGCACAGGACGGACGGACAGACAGACAGAAAGAGAGAGAGCGGCAGTGTGTCTTTGGGTTAGGCGTACCGATGGCTAGCTGTGGCAGCGTGCAGCCCAGCCGCTCAGCGATTGCCTGCAGCTCTTTCAGCTTCGCCTGCTGGCGTCGGCCCTCCTCGCTCAAGATCTTGTCCTTCAACCACTGGTAGCCCTGTTAACAACACAGCACACCTGTTCAAAAACAGGGGCCCACGTCTACAGCGGTGCACTTACACACACACACACACACACACACACACACACACACAACATAAACACACACACACTCTCGGACGCGTAACACCCAGCAGCACCTGTGTGAGCGAGGGCCTGTTTTTAAACACGTGACTCTGTCCGCCCAAAAGCTCAAATGAGCAGAGATGAACTCGCTCTGAGAACTTTAGGGGGTAAAGAGACCTCATACACACACTCACAAACATGATCAGTTTGAAGTGACTTCTGAGAAAGCTGTGTTTGAAGTAAAAATGTAGTATAAATGATTTTAAGGTATATATTCAAAAATAATTTTTTTTCAGTTGATTAGCTAAAAATGACACATTACTGTCAATTTAAAGTCAACATGAAACACATTTGCAACTCATTGAATTTGGTAATGCGGCATATTTCAGAGAGAAAAGACTGAATATGATTTAATATGCATATTAAATATGTGAATAAACATTCATAATTGAAATTAACAGCATCTCCGTGTATCCCAATGGTAGCATTTCTTTTTAAATCTTATCATAATAGATATTATTGTTGCATCTTTATTAATTTTCACATTAACCAGAAATAAATTACTGTTAAATGGCAATGTCTTAGAAAGGTTTATAGTAGCCTAAAAAAAGTTACTGGTCTTTTTTTTTTTTTTTTTTTTATTCTTTCCCCCCCAGCGTT